GCGCTCGCTTATTGTATCAATCATGAAATCTTCATAGGAATACAACTAGTGATACTATTTTCCAGGTAATATCCGTCGATTGACATAATCCAGCTTGCTGCTTTAATTTCGCTCATGACATTGATCCAAAACTTCTCACCTTCGGCTCGAAAGTTTTGATAATCGCCGAATATTTCCGCCAAAATTGTATCACTTGTGGTTATTACATATGAAAAAAAAAAAAAAAATATTTGTGATAATTTGAAACAACGAATTATTGCATCAAATTATATTTCTACATGAAGATAAAAAATTCAATTCAAAATAGGTATGTAGCGTCGATTCGACTAGTGAACACATTACTCGGAAATACATTGTTGAACAAAGCTGTAGATCATTAAAATATGGCCGCTCATCTCTTCCACAGTACCTCAAATAGGGAATAAATATGAAAACAGTATAACCAGAATTTCATCAGTTACAGTTTCTAGTCGGGTAATAAAAGCATATGAAGCAAGGTTGAGTAAATTTATTCATCATGTAAAATTTAAGGAACTCTTACAATGTGTAAAAACTTAATATAAGGATCTGAGTACATTGCATAAATAAAATGAATATATTCAATTAATTAATATCACAAATGACGCGTATATCACAGAAGTAGAATCACGTATTCATATTTGATAAAAATTGTGTATGGTTTATTATCACAGATTTCCTTGAGAACAAATATGGTTGTCTTCATCATAATCTATATAATATTACAAAACGATTCATCAAGTGATGCTATTTTTCGTTTAGACATTCAAGAAAGTAAGGGAGCTCTTGAATATATCTCATAGATATCTTGAAAAATAACATCACATACACATAAATATGGCATTTGGGAATACTTTCTTTCGGATATGTACTGTAGTTTGTTCTACTATAAACATATTAACTTCAAGAGACAATATTGTATAGATAAGTGAACAAAATATTCGATCCATTTTTTCATCCCAGATATGGAATCAGTTTATCCATCAAGGACTTCGTATATGCATAATCAGAAAGTTTCAATATTATGTGGATATGTATATGCACTCGTGCAAAATTCAAAATAATTCAATAGGACGAATAGTTTGTCTAAGATAAGTAAACGCTTTTCTCTTCATAAAAATATAGTATAATATGATATTCATGCAAAATAATCCAAACAGATTTTCTCAACTGACTACATTATGTTGAATCATTTTTTTCTCAACCAGATAAGGCCAGAAGTATAGCAAATAATTCATATAAATCATTATGACTTCATCATTTTGTTATGAATATGAACCTTGAATTTTGTAGTGGTATGTCACAGGAATGGGATTTATGATTGAATATCCAGATATGATTATAGTTATTATCCAATGCAATTGCTCGAATATTATTCAAATCTCAAATGAATGAGTAGACTAGCTAGAGTAAGGACATTAAAAAAAATTGATAAAGGCAGGGATGGTGATGTACTTAAAAAAAATAGTGACGATAGAAGGCACCACACCAGGATCATATAACAAGTATAAAGTAGTGTGGAGGGAGAGAAAGATGTTGTTTCTTTTTGAGTGACATTTTTCCTTCAATTCTATCTTTCAATCATCAATGGCGTTAATCATCTAGTATATTCGTTCATTCATCTGGTATATTCGTTCATCTGAGATTCAAATCCACTTCGTCAAATATCATGCTTGTCAAGGATGAACTTATAAACGCTATGTCATTACTTGCATAAACGTAAAAAATCAGTTCATGTAGATACTTTATATAATCAAAATGATTTCTACGTTTACGGTTATGATTACATTTGCGTATGCATTTTATCTGGAATCGCCTTGAAATAATCGAACATCTCTCAAAAATACCAGGAAAAAATAGAATCAATGAAATATATACCGCGTAGATATTATTGCATCGAACATTGAGACATATGTGAGTAAAATGACGTTTGTATAAATGACACATATCAGTAGGTGATATGTTAAAGAATCAATACTCATCAGATGTGGATGTCATAGGAAACTTGTCAATAGCCATTTTGACAATAATTCAGAGAAACAAGTTTTTCCAACCGCATATACCAGGTGAACAACCAACAACGGCTGTCGGCGTGATCTGGAGTATCAATAGATATCGTGAATTGAAAATGTGACGTATGCATATTATTACACGATCAATTAGAGAAACTAAATCAACATGATAGCTTTCGCTAACGGAAGATATTGACGATCAAAGTTGGAAAAATAATTGATGACAGCCGTTCTTAGTTGTTCACCCGGTACAACAAGGCTTGGGAGATTTTTGTTATAATCATGTGAATTTAGTATTCGCAGAGAAAAACTCAACACTGTGTGAAATAATGAATCACAATCGATGAATAACCATAGAAACAGCACAGGATTCTTTTTATTCGAAAACGACCCGTCGAGAATAGGTTTGTTAATATAATTTATTCCAATTGTTTTAATTGCATTCTCTCGTTGGTCGAAGCGCTGGAACCAACGCCCATAAATCGGAACTTATGTGGGGGTAGGAAAGCATAAATACACAAACATCCATGGCCTGAGCGGGGCTCGAATTCATTCCTCAGTTGAGAATTCCCTTAAGAACCCAACGCTTTTACGCTCTCGACCACTGAGGCATATACATGGTGAGTCATGACTAACCAGCCATAGCCCAATGGCATATAGAGGGAGTCAAGGTGAGTTGATATATGTGAAAAAATATATTTTGCCTATTTGTAACTGAAATACAGGGCATTACTTGAATTCGAGGCGGAAAAAATTTCGACTTTCTGAATCGTATTTTTCAAAAACTACTATCAAAATCAGAAAGAACAGGAAACAAACTACAAGTTTCAGCTTTTCAATTTGTACTGCACACTTCGACCGGATTGATGAAAAAATATCAAACAAAATTCAGATGAATATTTCTTCGATTTCGTCCAAGCCGTTATTCTCTACATTTTACTGAAAATATTCGAATCAGTTTTTTTGCATATTGATATAGCAGCAGAGTTGAGAAAAGGTATTTGAAAAAAATTAGGACCGGACTTGGTTTTTGGAAAGAATTACAAAACCTTATAATTTTCGAAAAGAATTTGTCTGCATCCTAGTATTCTCCAACGAAGATTCTCAAAATGTCCTCTTCCAATTTCTATACATTTTGTGCATATCTTCAGAAAATCTCTTATGGCTTTTCGAATAAGTTGTCTCTATTATTTCTGATCATATCCGAAGCTGTAACAATTCTCTCCCTCAGTCCTCTCTGGTGTTGACTTCAGTCTGATAGACTAATCTTTTCATATAACTCCATAGAAAATATTCTAATACTGTGAGATTAGGGGACCTAGGAGGCCAAGAATGAGGGCCGCCACGACCTATTCAGCGATTAGAGAATAATTGTTTGTCTAGTTATTCTTTCACTTGTATTGAGTAATGTGGAGGTGCCCCATCCTGTTGAGAGAAAATACCTATTTCAATCCATTTTCATACATCCATCACCTCTTTTTTAGTGTTTTCTGAATGATGGAAACACCACTCACAAATTGATTCGCTAATAGAGAGAGTTCACATGCAATGAGATCATATTCAATATAACTTCAAAATATTTTACCGAAGGAATCATTTTCAGAGAGGAGGTAGGTATTGGACTTTTTTTAAAAATTAGGTACTTATTTCCTTGTTTTGAAAGGTCTCTTCAAGACAGGTAAGTCCGGTCCTGGAATTTTTCATCGAATAGAAAGTCTTTCCAACTCTTAAAATACACAGACATGCAAAACATTTAAAATGAATTTGTTGAATGATGTGTCTACAATAGCCAGTATTATTTTCACCAATCCGATCGAAGTGTGACGTACAAATTAAAAAGTTACACTTGTATTGTTTTTCCTGATCTTTGTGATTCTGATGAAATTTTTTGAAAAATACGATTCAGAAAGTCGAAAGTTTGACTTTTAAAAGAAAATGAGTTTTCCAAGTCCGGCTCTGGGTTTTTTTCCATAGTAGGCAATCGTGTGGTGTGTCAGTAGAGGTAAGTTGCCGGTGAATTTCAAGAGATATCATCGAGACGTTCCTGAAATATCACCCATCGTTTCGCCCCGAATTCAAATATTGCTCCGTATTTCTGTTAGGAGTACACAAAATATATTATTTCACATATACAGGGTGTTCCTTAAAGACATGCGAAGGGGGTGATTCTTTGACTCATTTTAAGAAGAAAACTTCATATGAACGTATGTCCTAAAAGTCTCAACTTTTGAGATACAGGGTGATGAAGTTTTGAAAAATATTCAGTTTTTTGATAATAACTGAGACAATATTGTATACATTTTCATGAAATTTGGTACACGTCTTTCATGCATTATGGTGCATTTTCTGATGTGGAAAAATTATCATTTTCTCTACCAGTGGCACCGTTACGGGAATATTATTGTTTATATTTCACTTGAAAGTGAGCAACGACAAAATATTTTCAAATTTTATACAATGTCTTGAAAGGCTATTTAATTATGTACAAAAAAGATCCTCAAAATTTGATGTCTGAGTACACCATTCAGGACATCCATTACTGGATAACCACAGTATGTAACATTTCGAAATTTGTATACCAATTTAGTCACATAGCAGACTGAATTCTGTTATCACGAAAAGCTATACAGGGTGGACAAAAAAATCATCAATGCATATTTTCAACATTGACACCCTGTATCTCAAAAGTTAAGACGTTTACGACAAACATTCATATGAAGTTTTATTCTTGAAATGGGTCGAAGAATCGGCCCCTTGAATATTAGCATATCATTAAGAAAGACCCCTGTATATCAACTCAACTTGACTTCTGTCTATGGCTGGTTAGTCATGGCTCACCCTATATATCATATTACAGAAATCCGAACGCCAATCTGGAGTTCAAAAAGACTCGGGCTCTTACCATATCTTAGACAAACCTCCGCACACCTCGCCGCGATTTCAGCTATAACAAACATCATATAAAAGTACCTGTTAGTCTGGTATCCCTGCTGCATGCCGATCGGCGGCGGATAGTAACCAGTCTGTGCCACGGTTTGGTGTCCGCCAGACCATTGCTGCTGCCTGCCGCCCCGTTTGTCATCGAAATTGTCATAGAATCTATCGCCTCGATCCCTCTCTCTCGATGATCGATTGTTTCGGTTGTCTCTATTTCTACGCGCCTCTCGACCGTAATCTCGGTCGTCGTCGTTGTCTCGGTGCCTTGATCTAAAACAAGTTACATTCATGTTATGATTTCGAAAATCTTTGGTAGAAGGTGACGAGAGTCAATAAAATCGATTTGATAGGGACTGAGAATAAATGAAAATACGTTATTATGTTTGATTACAAAAAGTAGGGTGTCAATCGATTCCTTGGCTCTTCAACAGCTATTTGAATGTGGTATTAGTAATTACCCCAATATTTGGCTGGAAAAAATTCGCTGTTCTTTCGCGAATACCTCCCAAAGTAGTAGGAAATTTTGATGGGTAACTCGTAATCAATAATCCAAAGAACAGGGATTTTTACTCTCAAACAATTGAGTCTTTTTTGTGGAATTAATGCAATTAGTTCGTAACAATGACACGCTGCAATCAATAGATCAGAATTCATAAGTTCATTAATCACAATATCGATTTCGTGGGAAAGTTTATTCAATTTTCAAAACTGATATTTTCTGAGAATGACGACAATTAGGGAATCAATGGTAACATGTATATTGGCATCACTGTCAAGGTTCATTCAAATACGTACTCTGTCGAGTAGAGTTTACTCATTTGCGTTCGAAATTTCTCAAGGTAGTGTCAATTCTACTGGAGTTTTTGTTGACTCAAGTACAACAAAATAGGTGGTTTGAGTTATGACAGGGCGAGCAAGGATGAAGAAGTTTCTTTGTTTCTTTCATGTTAGGTAATGTCCATCTTAAACGTAGTTTATGATTGCTTTTATATTCTCGAATGATTCACACCTGGCAATTACTTCAATATTTTTAAAGACGAAGATGTGACTCTGGGGATGTGACTGATATGAGTAGCATCATACTTAGATGTTAAAAGAACCTTCAGAAAGTGACGCTGACGTTCTGTTGAGGTCGACATATCTGGTAACAAAATATTCAATCATCAATTATTCAATTCAATATTCATTAGTCGCAGTACCCAACATATATGGAATGTAAGAAAGCTACTTCAAAGTATTACCTTTTGTAAGATGTGGTTTATATCTGTAAGAAGCCAGGGTATCACAAACTTGATGAAAAAAAGACGCTACCATTGCTACACCAGGTATTTATAGAAAATAGGTTTTTATACGAATACGAATTGCACACCATTGTTCAAAAGGAGATAACCTGTCATTCAATACCAAAAACGTCCAAATTCGACAAGTAGTTTTGACAAAAATCTACCTCAAACTTTTGGATATTTTTTGGTGGTGCGTTAATTTTTGGGAGAAGTGTATATGAGTATAAATAAAAAAATAAAAAAAAGGTAGATGAATCAGCAGTCAAATATGCAACTAGATCATGATTGGAAATCGGTACGTCATATCATCACTGTATGGAAAGTCGATCAGGTTTAGAGCGGAAAAAGGTTGTCCACAGAGCGGGGTACTTCCCCCCTTTATATGGTCAATCCTAGTTGACTCTCTGCTGAACGATCTTTCCATGCAGGAGGTGGATTTCCAATGCTATGAAGATGATCTAGTCAATAGTTAAAAGGGAATTTGGAGCGAGAATCTCAAACGGCCTACAAGAAGGCCTCAACATTGTGTACCGATATTGCGAGAGGGAGCAGATGTCTGTGAACCTCTGGAAAACTGTAATCATCCCTTGTACCAATAGGCAAAAGCTAGATAAGCATCGCTAGCCTGTCCTATATTGAGAGAGCATTCCGTTTGCGGCGGAGGTGAAATATCTTGGGGTCACCCTAGATATAAGACTCACCTGGAACACCCACATGGAAAAACTACTAACAAAGCCACATTCTCCCTCTAGAACCTCGGAAGGGTAAGCGGCAAATTATGGGGAATGAACCCCAAACAGATTTACTGGATTTACCAAACAATGGTAAAACCAATGGTCACGTATGGCTCGGTAGTCTGGTGGACTAAAGGTATGCAAGGGACAGCCAGGGCAAAGCTTGCTGGTCTTCAGCGGCCATTACAGGGGCGATGTCCTTCAACGGCAGCATTGGAAATCCTCATGAATCTCACTCCCTTCCACCCCCTCCATTGTCTTGGAAAGTAAAGCAAGGATGGTTTCCTACAGATTCCTGTCACTGGAAAATCAAATTAGAGGAGGCGACTGCTGGACCACTCCGGGATACTGTGTGAAATAAAAAAATCACCAAACTCTAGGAATGGTTCCCGACATGTTGACTACTCAGACACACGTGAATAAGTCTTTCATAGTCCTCCTCCCGATGAGAGACGAGTGAGTAAGTGGATCAGTCCAATTCCCAGAGACCGAACACGTAATGTACACAGATGGTTCGAAAACCCCTCTTGGAGCCGGTGTGTTCAGCAAAAAACCGAAGACGGAAATCTCAGCCAATCTTTCAGGCGGAGGTCTTCGGAATTGAATTGTGTGCTAGAGGGTTGACGAATAAACCTCTAGTAAACAAAAACATCAGTATTGTATCAGAAAGTCAGGCTGCTCTTAAAATACTGAGCTCCAGCAAGATAAACTCCAAGCTCGTATGGAGCTGTATTGAATTCATAGAATGCGTGGGTGCAAACAACACAGTTACTTTGCTTTGGGTGCCTGGACATCAGGGGGTGGAGGGCATCGAGAAAGCCGACATCCTCGCCAAACAGGGAACCGAATCTGTCCTCATAGGACCAGAATCATGCTTTGGGATCACCGCAAGCACGGCCAGAAAAACTAACACGGACTAGAAGGACGGGGAAAGACTCACGTACTGGTCTGAATTACCATGATTAACCCATTCGAAGACGTATCTGCCCAACCATCGAAAAATATAACCAGGCAGATCCTAGAATGGAGCAGGCGTAACCTGCGAATTCTGCTGCTTACGGAACACTGTCGTCTATCATAGCACCTGGGAAGGATGGGCCTGAACCAACGAACGGACTGTCTGTTCTGCTGTGTGAACGACGAAATGGCTGAACACATATTATGTTCATACTCTTCCTTAGAGAAATTGAGGTTCGACGTATTTGGCCTCACCAATTTTGAACCTATCGATTCAAGACAAATATCACCTGATTCAACAATGGGCTTTGTAAAAAGATGTGGATTGTACAGTGAACTGTAACCTCTAGGGGTGAGCCACAACAGGAACACATGGAACCTAACCTAACCTATTATACTATGACTTTTTTCTATGCAAACGAATTAATAAAAAATGAAATAGTTTTTCAACATGATGGGGCACCCTCCCTTATTATGCTGTTGCTGTCGGCAATTTTCAAATGATCGTTTTCCAGGTCATAGAGTTGGTAGAAGAGAGGTCCCATCGAATGACCACAAAGATCACCTGATTTAAACCTTTTGGACTTTTGAAATCGTGATTGTATGCAACGCAACCTGATACCCTAGGCGTTCTACGTAAGAGAATTATGGAAGAATGCCGATTAATAACACCAGATGTCTTCAGTAATGTCCGAAAAAAATTTGATAAACGTTTGTACCATTGTGTGCAAGTTGATGGAGATCATTTTGAACTAAGCATTGACTGAAACTTCAATTTTGTGTCACCTTTTCAATCTTAGACTATTTTAATTTTGTCGAATTGATCGAACCAACAAAAAAGAGGGATGTGGATATGTAGTGAATGAAATATTTCAATTGATGGACAATTTCGGTCAGAAATTACAACGAGAATGCCGTTTTGTTGATAATTGTTAAGTATTGATTTTATTCAATATCTCTGTCAAATTTCAACAGATTTCCAAAAACGATGCACCAAGTATTAGCAATGGAAAGGGCATTTCAATGATGTATTGGAAGTAGGATAGTTCCCTTTGAAATTCCAAAGTTGGGGTTGCTAGAGGTTAGGGGTATGAATCCATGAAGTTGGATCAACTGTAAAAATTGCTCCCCCCAAGGAAACAAATCGATGTTTTTGTTCGAGATTCCTAAGTTTCTATCATCCATCCTTCTTACGTTGTTCTCGAGCATCTGATTTTTTTGTTCGATTTTGTGTGTGATGGTTTTTGTGACTTGACTAATACATTCTTCAATTTCTAGTACCTGCGATACTGTTCCACTAAGGTAATCACAGAATGAACTCTACTGGTTATATTGTGCACTTTTTCCAACTTTTCTGCACTGTTTTATTGCTAAAAGCGTAATGACAAACTGGAGCAAGTTAACTAACGACTATCTACCTCGAAGCATACCTGAACTCTCAATAGTAATCAACTCAGAGTGAACTGATTAAACCTTCAACTTACTAACTAACTTGAGAATGGATAATCGAAGGGTAAAATGCTACCTAAAAAACTATATTGCTACTACATTCCAAACGAGATAGTAGGTGCCTATGATGGAAAGTTCACACTGGTGATATAAAAATATGACACATAGTTCAAAACCATAGCTATTTCAATGATTGAGTTCCATTTTGATTTCGAGTTTGTTCTCAGGATTTATTGTAACACAAAATACAAATGAATGGAATATTATCATCTTTCCACAAGGAAACTTTAACCTTAACGTCACGTCATAAGTCATTTGCCTCCAAAATCAACCAATCAAAGCGAAGATCAACACCCCTATGGTTTCTAACGCTGTCTTTTTAGTTGGAATCGACGTCCTCAAGAAAAACTACGTACCAAAAATGTAATGGAATTGTACCACATAGTCGAATCATCATCTTTTGAACAAACTATTGACCCCGTTATGTGTGGATAATATTTGATGTAATATTTGTTCAGAAAAATTTATCATAACTACTGAATTTTCTAAATGAAATTAGGCGCCCTCTTCAAACGTCAGCCATTCATAATACATGAGTATACATTTGTATTTAATTATTATTCAGCTTGATTTGTTATTAAATTCTGGGATTTCAGATTCTACTGAAGCATCATTTCGAACCATAATTTTTGAAGTTTATCTTGGGGAAGCTCGTTACTGTATCGGTGTTCGTATCCACATTAATAAGGACTGCAATGCAAGAGAAATTAATGGCGAAATTACCAGTATACCAAGTATGTCTTCATAAGAGATATATTCTATTTGCAATAACATCAATTTGACATTGGTATTACAGAACATTGTCACTTTGGGGAAAATACCTTTAAGTTTAAGACTATCAGAACTAACAAAACTACAATATCGTATCCAGTACATCTATACATGCATAGCTACTTCAAAAACCAACATTGGCAGTGATCTAATTGGCGAGCGATAACTAGAGGGAATTGCACTTTACATGATATCAATTTTACATTTGCATTAGAGAACATTATTACTTTGGGAAAAAAATACTTTAGATTTAATATAAAAATCTACTAAAATACTTTTGAACTTCATCTCGTATCACAGCTAATTCAGCAACAAAACTTATATTTTCGATAACTTATGATCTCGTACTGAGTACATCAATACACATGCATTTCAGCAACTAACCTTGGCGGTGATCTTACTGGCAAGCTATATATAGAGGGTAATCAAATGAATAAAGTTGTATTTCGTGTAAATATTTTGACATTTGTATTAGTGAACATTCTAACTTCGGTTAGGAGAAGGAATATCTTGAATTTTGACTAAGAAAACTGCTTATGGGAGAAAAATGTTTTCAGACGTAGACTGAAAAATGTACTAATACTTTTGAAAATTGTTCATCTTGATTCGTGTACAGGGTGGCTGGAATTAGAACCTCATCATTGGGATCTCGTAAATTATGGCAAAGTTGCGCAATTTTTTGCACAACAAAAAGCCGTTTTGAAACTTGAAAAATTCCGAATACTTACCTAGATCCAAAACCACGAAATTTCCTAAAATTCGAATTTATTATTTGAAAAAATTACATCGAAATTAATGACAGTTTATCATAGCCACTATTTCTTCCCTAGAAGTTCGCGTTTTCAAATTTGAAATCCGACGTTTCGTCTTCCAGAATTCATCAGCTTTTTTTTTCAAATATGGACTTGGATTTTTTTTCAGAAAACAGATGCGACTCGCAAAATGAAGAAAAAGAGTACAAATCAGTTTCTCAATGAAACATCCTGTATATTATAATATCCAGCGAAATATATTTTTCTTCTATTCTCAAATGTATACAAGGTGATATCGTTTTTTGTAACAGAACCGCAACAGCTTGAAAAAGATACTACTTCATACTATCTTATGTAAAGGGTGTTGCGAAATTCGACCGACAACGCTTGACAGGTGATATCCCCCGTGATTACATAATCAATGAGATAGGGACATACAGTCTTCAAGTGTTCAGTTCTCGAGATACAGAGCGTTGAAGTTAAGAAATTTGAATAGGTTTTTCGCAATATCCCAAGAAAAATTGAATATAATGCATTCAAATTCGGTATATGGTTTCCTCTTTCAATGGTTAATTTTTTGACCAGAAAGACATTCCGAGAATTTTACCCAGAGGTGCGCTACAGAGGGTTGTGATAACTTTTCCACCCATATTTCTGATGAAATATCGATTATTTCCAATTTCTCGAATTGATTGTTCAATTATGTTGAAAATCTGCATCATCTTCAACTGAATTAAAATGAACATTTATCGAGATATTTAATATAGAAAAAATCTCAATATTTGGCTCCCTGTATATCGGAAACGAATCTCCCACGAATATATGTTCACATGAACTTTTTATTTTGAAAATATGTGTTCTGTTGAAGCTGTTGAAGTCCTGCAACAAAAAACGGACTCACCCTGTATAGTTTGCTAATGTTCCCTTGAGCTCTTTCTCATTTATTTATATTTTACAATATTGAACAAAAATTGGCAATTTCAACATTTAGATGGCCGTGGACATTACAGAATGCCATGGAAACAAAACAGGCCTTTTTTGAAATCTCTGTCAGTTTCTCCAATTGGAATTGGTCATTTCGTAGAGGAAATATATGAAATAGTAGGATAGTATTATGAAAATATTGAACACATTTCAGTAGTGACGCAAGAAATTAGTCGAAAACGGGTTAATGGAACATTAGCAAACTAAATATATTTGTGAACAGAATAAATAGTTATTTGTTTTACTAGACAGCCAAGTAGTAGATTGACTGCTGCGGCTGACAGTTCATAGCCGAGCGTAGCGAGGCTAGAAATTCAGCCAAGACAGTCATCTACATTTGTTGCCTTGTGATACATTTTTTTTTCACTCAAAATGTTATGGAACCAATTTTATGTAATTTATTTATTGAAAACTCCATCATTTTGTGCTCACCCAATGTCAGTGTCAATTTTGACTACCAATTTCATTCAAATTACTTGGAACGTTTAATATCAACATACTTTTTTTCCTTAGGCAGAGAAAGTATACCTTTGCTGCCTTTTAAGTGTCATAGAAAAGCCATTAGAGTTGAGAAATATACAAGGTGTTTCATTGAAAAAAAACTGATTTAGGTTCTCTTTTCCCATTTGCATTTGTTTGTTCAAGGACTGCCAAAATATAGTATAGTATGGTAGTAGTAATGAAATCCGAGAACTTTTATATTCCAAGATTTTTCCACCTTGTATAGTAGAACCTGTAGGTAGGGGTCAAAATAAAAGGAGATACCCTGTACAAAAATTGACAGTTTCTGTTTTTTTGTTAAATATTCATTAGGACAGTGCTTTATTTATAAATTTGTTTGTGATATCTTATAGCAAGGGTGTCATCTCAGTGAATACCAGGTGTGGTCAAGAAACCCAGGATAACTGTTTGCAATTTTAAAAATGCGCAGCAGGCAAATTTTTTTGGGGTTCAAGGTCAAATGCCTTCAAATTGAAAATTAAATTTCCAGACTGACAACAATTATTATAATATTATGAATTATTCAGTTACATGTCCTCAGTTGTTGCAATTGATATAAAATGATAGTATTTGGATACTGTCTGTAGGTTACCCGAGCAAGTGGATGTTTTCGAAATTTTAAGGGAGCAAGGGATACTGACTTTCAATTTAGCAGATTAGTCCCTGATTCACTTCAATCTTTTCATCATATCCGAATCAAAAACTATCACTCATAACAGGAAATAAGTTAATCATTAGTCTATCGTTATTTTCTACATTTTAGGAAAATTTGCTTCCTTATTCAGGTATATTTGATGTATGATATCAACTTTCATACTGAATGATCGTTCAACAATTTTGAATTATTTACAAATTTCAAGTACTAATACAATATTGATGATGTATATTATGTGGTTACAGGAAGAATATAAGTGGAATAAAGTTTTTGTAGAAAATCAGGGAGGGTTAAATGACGCCCATATCTCATAGCATTTTGGGCTATCGGAAGGTAAGAAATAATGAAATAAAAATCCAGGTCCGTATTTATAAAATTAACAGGAAATAGCACAACTTTGCCATGATTCTCACTCAGAGATAGAGATTTGCGGATTTCGCGAACGTTGGCTACTTTTTTGTGAAACTCACGATACCGCAAACAAAATTTTCAAGGCGAATACTCAAAATATCGTATAAGTATTACATATTTTTGAAAAGCGCAAAGCATCAATAATTCAAATATGAAAAAATATACAAGGTGTTCCTTTTGAAAAACATAACTATATCTGAATAATAACAGCCTATTTTGAAAATCTGACTACGCTACTAGATTCTATGTGAAAAGCTGTATAGATGACAGTTTTTTCTTTTCCTATAAGTTGAAAGATAGCTGAGATACAGAAGGGGTCCCAAAATGCAACATTCTCAATTTCGCCCTATATCTCAAAAACGGAGCGGGCTATGAAAATTTTGTATACGCTATCGTCTGTTTCACAAAAAAGTAGTAAACGTTTGCGAAAACCGCGAATCTCTATCTTCAAAAATAAGTGAGATATCCCGTAACCTTGAAAATGGCTGTACATAGCTACTTCAGCAACTAATAGGAAGACATCTAGAGGGTCTGTCCCACTTCGCAGTATTAGACTTTCGTAATAAAGGAGTTAGTTACTTCGGATAAAAAGCGTTGAATATGAAACAACAAAAACTACTGTTTTAGAAAATTTACGATCTCGTATCGAGTACATCTAGACATGCATAGCTACTTCAGCAACTAACCTTGGCGGTGATCTTATTGGCGATCGATATCTAGAGGGTCCCCCTCGGGGAGGCAAAGAGCGCAGCGGCGAACGCCTCGCTGGAGACAGTTGCCTGTGGGGCGGACTGCCCGAAAATGACCTTGATCGAGACCTACAATCGTGATATCTATTATATAGCGATATCTAGGTCCGTTTCAGATCACATAAATTTTCATATTAGAAAACATAGGTGATGAGCAATTCATCTACTACATGAGCGACATTTTGAAAACTCTCCACCCTCAATATCTTCCATCCGGTAAATATTTCGCAGTTGTCAAGGTCATCATCTGACGTTGTGATGACATGAAAACTACAGGAAAACATTCCTAACTCCTGGCTTAGATTGAAAGTTAGACATGTTTTCCCGTAGTTTTCATGTCATCGTAACATCAGATGATGACCTTCGACTACCGCGAATATGAAAAATAGAAAAGACAGGTCGATTTTATTTTCAAGGGGGACACTTGAAATGATTAGTTTTAGCCCTATTGGTTCAACCCCCTAGGAGGGGTATATGTTACCCTCAGAATCTCAAATGTGAAGGGGGGGGGTCAAATGGCACATCATTTTGAAGGGCGTTCGATAATCTTTCTAACGGGTACCCTAGTTTATCATTTTCTCTTGAGCAGTTTCCGAAATATGCCGTGTCAATTGGAAAACTTCCCAGCGTTAATATCTTCCTTCCAGTAAATTATATGCAAAATCCAAGACACGTCAATTACATTTTCAAGAAATACACTTAAAATGCATATTTTCAGCCCTCTTGGTTCAATCCCCCTAGGAGGGGTAGATGTTACCATTAGAACCTTATATGAAAAGGGGGGGGGGGGGTCGAGATGCACATTATCTTGGAGGGCGTTGAATTCTCCTTTCAACAGTACCCTAGTTTAGTTTTTTGATGAGTAGTTTCCGAAAACAACCGTTCAAAACGTAATTACGCCTGCACTAAGATGCATGGTATTCAGGTTAATATTATTGTATTGACTCTTTTTTCAGTTCCTAGGAACAGAAAGTCAATACAATCATACTAATTCTAATTACTTCTGTAAGTTTAGAACGAAATTTTTCGAAAACTGCTCATCAAAAAATGATTGACTAGGGTATTGTTGAAAAAATAATTGAACGCCCTTCAACATAATGTGCATCTTGACCCCCCTTTTTCATATAAGGCTCTGAAGGTAGCAGCTGCCCGGGTTGAACTAATACGGCTAAAAATATGCATTTGAAGTGTCCCTCTTGAAAATGAAATTGACCTGTCTTCTCGATTTTTCATATTAACTGTAAGTAAGATATTGAGGGTGGGAAGTCTTCTAATTGGCAGGACATTTTTCGAAAACTGCTCAACAGAAAATAATGAACTTGGGTACAGTTGGAAAGAGAATAGGAAATTTTTCAAAATGATGTACCACTTGACCATCCTTCTCATTTGAGATTCTAAGGGTAACACCTACCTTCCTAGGGGGTTGAACCATATATCTACTACTCATAATATATGAAGCATAGCTGTCCTCAAATCGGGACCAACTTCTGTCTAAAGTACCTCTCATTTTGGTCCCATTTTTGTTGAGATATCGTATAGGCGATGCGCCATATACCGGGTGGCTACGGAAGTATTGCCTACGGAATATCTCAGTTATTGTATGAAGTAGGTTTGTGGAATTTGGAGCGTCGATATAATGACATAAGAGCTGGAATTTGAGCATATTGACATGTCGAAGTTAACTTCCGGTCTGACCGGAAGTAACATAAACTTTCTTATTTTGAATGGAAACCCTATTTTTTTTTGTTTTCGCTTCATTCAGCATTCAATTCCCTTTCTAATGACATATTATCACAAGTTGGTATCTAACCAGAAACTAGATCAGAAAAAAATTATTATTGAAATTCACCCAGTAGGCCGTGGAAGCAAAATGAAAGCCAAAAAATGACTTTCTATTATATCATTAGAAAGGAATGGTTATGCTGAATAGTACAGGCAAGAAAAAATTGTATGTTCCTATTTAAGTTATGGACCCACAGAGTATTGTTTTTTTCCCAATTTTTCCAATATTTTTTTGGCGGCTTTTGATAACGCCGACGAATGAAAATAAAATATCACAGTAGTGGCAACTGTTATCAAGTGACGTATGGTTTCCATAGCCAACTTTTCAATTTTTGGCTTTCATTTTGCTTCCACGGCCTATTCGCTGAATTTCAATAATAATATTTTTCTGATCTAGTTTCTGGTTAGATACCAACTTGTGATATGTCATTAGAAAGGGAATCGAATGCTGAATAAAGCGAAAAGAAAAGAAAATAGGGTCTCCATTTGAAATAAGAAAGTTGATGTTACTTCCGGTCAGACCGGAAGTTAACTTCGACATGTCAATATGCTCAAATTCTAGCTCTTATGTCATTAAATCGATGCTTCAAATTTCACAAACCTACTTCATACAATAACTGAGATATTCCGTAGGCAATACTTCCGTAGCCACCCGGTATAGAAATAGTAGTTATATGGATTGAAGAGGAATGAAGATATACATGTTAAATGCCCAACTTGAAGATGAAATTGACCTGTTTTTTCGATTTTCCATATTTTTCAGTGCAAGGAAGATATTGAGAGAGGGAAATTTTCAAAATTTCACCATGTATTCACCATGAAACAAACTGTTTTATCATTAGTTATGACAGTGAATGAGATGTTACTCGATTGAAAAACTTCTGGGATAATTGAGAGTTCATATTTTATGATACGAATAGAAATATCGGGGATTCGGTCACTTGGACTTCAAAAAGGTACGCCAAGCTTCCGAAGGTTTAATTTTCTTCTTCAAGTCTGGATATGGAATGTGAAATAGGTATGAATATGAATGAAATGCAAAAACTTACGTGTAATGTGAGTTGAAATACATGTTGCGTTTTGTTGCCTTGTTGCAAGGTATTGTCATTAGATTTGAATTGTATGTGTGAATTCATGTACTTAAAGACTTTGGTGACGGAAATTCACCAAAACACGAGGATGTTGAAGCAAAAAGACCAAGTTTTTTTTTATTCAAGTAGCAATAATTAGCATTATCGCTCCTAAAAAAAGATGTGGAGAACCAACCAACCAATGAATTCGTCAAAAGAGAGAGGCAACGAGTAGCTACCCGCTGTTGGTTGGGCAAAAATATATTTGTTTTTGTTGCACATGCAGCTATCACAATAACTAATTACTGCTGTACAACTTGTTTATGCACACAACTGTACGTGAATTTAATGTTTTGTATAGAACGGTAAGGCTAGGGAGGCTCTAGTAGATATTTGGTGTGATCAAGATAAGGTTCCACATCATGGGGTTCTCGGAAACGGGAGATACGAATTTGGTTAAATGGGAAAAAATTGCGCGAGGGGCCTTCAAACATTTTCAAAAGTGTGTACAGTTTTTCAGTTATATCGAAATTTTTTTTTTTTTGGAAAATCCATTTTTTTCTACTTTGTTGTTAGAGATATAGAAACACCAAAAATACTTTTCTATGGCACCTTTTGATGAGATTTATCATGGTAAAATTGATTTCTCTATACGATGTTTAGTATTTGTAGAACCATCAATTTTTTTCAAGAATACATTGCTGATTATATGTTCACAGATTCTGACAGCTCTTTCAATTCTGAATTCAACCATGTATACTCGAAGTGGTTTGAATGTGTTTCAATTTAGTTTCAACTAGGGATCGACCGATATAGAAATTTTAGCCGATACCGATAATCGGCCGATACCGATATATCGGTCTATCGGCCGTTAACAAGTTTTCTCTGAAGCTGGTAATATTTATGATGCAAAACGTAGCAGGCTAACTCCTGATAGGGCAGAAAGCTTATTGTTTTTGCATCACAACCTACCAAAACTGAATTATCAGTATTAATCAGTTATTTTTGTATTTAAGTAAGGTGAAATAATTTTACCTTACAGTTGCAATCCGCATAGGGTTTTATTTTATTAGTCTTTAATTACTAGTCAAAGAATTTAGTTGATTTTACGTTACATACTTTTTATTGGTAATAAAGATATATTTTTGATGGAAGTGTAATTTTTTCATTCAGTTTTCAAATTGATTTTTTACCCAATAAAAAAATATATCGGTCTATCGGTTTTTGATATCGGCCGATACGATAATCGGCCAATGAGGCCGATATCACCGATAGGCCGATATAAATATCGGTATCGGTCGATCCCTAGTTTCAACCATCTCTATGATTCTTTCGAAATTCCAAAGAGAAAATACCATCAGTTCCACTTATTTCTGATCATTCAGCGTCAAACATTGATGGAGTAGTTATTTAATAATGAAAAGTTGAAAAAAATCATAAATTATTCAATGCATCGCAAATTTTTTAATGTTAATGGATTCTTACAGGAATTCCTTTGGTAGCTAAACCTATTCTACAATCCCTTGGCCGACGCATGAATTTTATTTTTTTCAATTACTGTTCGTGTTGTCAAAGTTTAGTGTCAAGGTAATTTTTTTAAAAATTCATCAACATGAAATAATTTGATACACTACTTTGAATAACTTATGAAATATGTTTTTTACTTTTCAGTATTAATCAACTACTATATCAGTTTGACATTGAATGATCGGAAATGAATAAAACTGGTAGTATTTCCTCTTTGGAGGTCAAAACACATTCAAACCACTTTGAGTTATCGGAATCTGTGAACACATAATTGATTGATTGTCTTTATTACCCCAAGAAACATTTCTATATATTATAATAGGGATACATGAATACATATAAAAAAAATTATAATAAAAGGTTAACAAATGAATTCTACTCAGTGGAAACGAATTCATATTTCTTTGCAGATAAAAGTTATAACATTCCATTTCTGAGGAATCGAATCATCCCACATATTTTTCAAATTGTCCTGAGCAGGTATTTTTCAAGATTCTATGATGGTTCTAAAATTACTGAACGGCGAGTAGAGAAATCGATATAACCACGTTAAATCTCATCAAAAGTTGATATGGAAAGGTATTATCAGTTTTTCTGTATCTCTAATAATATTCCAAGAGCCGGCTGCAAATTTCGACCTTCATCTGATAACGAAATGATATATGTCTCAAGGGCATGTAAAAACATTGT